TAGGGACTCCTCTGCCATCAGGTAATTAATTAATGAATCATGGCCAAAACCAGAACATTTATATAAAACGAGCGATTTACGAACGATCAGACGGAAGAAAAAAAAACCACCTTAATCAGAACCATTCGCTGCACAACAATAAACCCCAAACAGGGATCACCGGGGAATGTGGGTCCCCAAAAAGGCTGTTCCCAAGGCAGGTTCTCCGATGGATGACGGAGCTGGAGCAGCGGCCGAAGCTCTTCCCGCAGTTGGGGCACTCGAGGGGCTTCTATTACTGGTGGGTCCGTTGGTGTTTGGTCAAGTGGGAGCTCCGGGTGAAGCTCTTCCCACACTCCCCACACTTGTAGAGCCTCTCCCCTGTGTGGATGCGCCGGTGGGTGACGAGGTGGGAGTTGTAGCTGAAGCCCTTCCCGCAGTCGGTGCAGCGGAAGGGCCTCTCCCCTGTGTGTATCCGCTCATGCTGGAGGAGATTCCCGCTGGTCTGAAACCTCTTCCCCAATTGCAAGCACTTGTAGGGCCGTTCCCCAGTGTGGATGAGCTGGTGCTTGCGGAGGGTGGAGCTGTAACTGAAGCTCTTCCCACATTCCCCACACTTGAAGGGTCTTTCCCCAGTGTGGGTACGCTTGTGTTTGATCAGGTTGGAGTTGTCCCCGAAGCTCTTCCCACATTCCCCACACGTGTAGGGCCTCTCCCCAGTGTGGATGCGCTGGTGTTGGATCAGGGTGGAGCTCTGCCTGAAGCTCTTCCCACATTCCCCACACGTGTAGGGCCGTTCCCCAGTGTGGATGCGCTGGTGGCTGAAGAGGTGGTTGCTCTGCCTGAAGCTCTTCCCACATTCCAAGCACCTGAAAGGCTTCTCCCTGCTGGGAGGCTGCTCAGGGACCACCAGCTCGGAGCTCCGGCTCAAGCTCCGGCCGCCTTCCCGGCACAGGACGGCTCTTTCCTCCTCACAGCTCCCTGGGCTGGCTTTGCAGCCCCTCCTCCGGGGGCATCTCCGGCCCTTTTCCTCCCCGCTGCCTTCCTGCACCGGGGAGCCCTTCAAAACGGCCT